CCCCCCCCCCAGTACGCCTCTGACAGTACTTAATCATTTATGTGTTGAAGTATATAGTAAGTAGGTAAGTAATGAAAAAGAGCCTATGGATTTTGCATTCTTGCTGATTCTATGGAAGAATATTCTTTGAAAATCAGTCAAAAACTTTAAATTTGGAGATTTTCACTAGAATTATCCGTTTAAGATCTTTGCTTTTATATAGAATATATTATTAAAATATAATAGCTGATCCTCCTCGGTGTTGCCTGAGACAAATTATAAAACACAATGCTATAGAATTCCCCTTATTTTAAGCTCAGTTAAATAAAAACTAAAATAATATGTTTAATTCAGTCATTTCAGTTTGATCAAATATATTATATACAGCCATAAGGCATAAGGGTCAACAATTTGACTAACCTAGGAATTTAAACCACTAGTTAATAAATACACCTGCCGTTTTATTCGTGTGTGAACGGGCCTCATTTTTTCTTACAAGGGCTCAATTTATACTCTGTACACGAATATTACTCCATTGAATATAACAGGAGTGGTCAACCTGCGGCTGATGTTTTCCGTAAAACGTACAAAATTAAACAAATAGTAATAATATAATACATATTTAACCTACAAGAGCGATCATATAATACACAATCTGCGAAAGATTGAAGTAGATATACCATCCATGATTCCAAAGGTCATTGTTATAACCAAAAAATGATRACTTTATATTATAATCAGGTACTCAGAAACGTATATACCTATCTATGCAAGGAAATCATGACGTAATAGGTCTTATGAACCTATGTTATCTGTATAACTGTTCGATATTGGAATTTGGTTTTAGTTTTCTTTAGATTATTATATCAGAATAATATTATCATAATTATTTCATTAAATAAAATTATATTTAATATTATGATAATTGATCATCAATCATTATATTACGTTTTGACTGTTATTACAATTACGATAATATTCATGTATATTATATTAGTACGATAGTATTCTCTGCATATTGCATATAAATTATAACATAGGCTTTAAAAAATAATCCTTAATTTACTAATATTTCATCTGTACATTGTATTAACTGTTTACTTCATAACAATAATGTATTTGTAATTAATAGAATATTAATATATAATTACCATATTAAGAGGCCGTTATACCCGTATGTATTTTTTTCGTTAATAAGTGCGCACACAACATAGCAAATTTGGCTGTACCTATACGAATTGCGTCCCAGGTGTTTTGGGATCATACTAGTTGCGCCCGTTTTTTTTTTTTATTTACATTAA